TTTCACAACTTCTTCAATTCCATTGATTCTTAAATTGGTCTCTTACTATTGTTCTGAAGTTCTTCTATATGTTGCTCATGTTCATTTATTTTCTTTTCTTTATTTATTTTCTTTTGTTTAATACTCTCTAAATGTTCAAGATTGGCCACTTTTGTCTTCCAGCTCTGAAAGAATGTATTCAGCCTGATTTACTCTCTTAGACTTTCAACAAAACATTTTACTTGATTGTTATGTCTTTTGATTCCAAGATTTCCCATTGGCTTTCTTTTTCAGTATCTCTATCATCTTATTGATTTTATTATTCCTCTCTCTGAATTCCAGATCCACTCACATTTTTGTCTGTGTTCTCTTGGAATTCATCAATTGTTTTGATAATTATTTGTTTGATCTTTTTGTCTGTTATTTTATCCATGTCAGTATGTTTGAATTCAGCTACTTATGAATTATAAACTTTAGGATGTGTCATGCACCTTGTTTCTCTTTTCATATTATTTTAGTTTCTATGTTGAGTTTTATGCATTTTCTGTAATAGATTTCTCTTTTGCTCTTTCATGTGGTCTTTTTGGTGAGCAGCTTTCTTTTACAAAAGTGTCCTAGGGTAATCTCATAGGTATGGTATCCACAGTCTTTGTGCTAATTACTATAGCCATGTATGTCCATGAGTGGGATCTGAGGGCCCACCCCTGGCTCATTCTGCTTGGGGACTGGATTTTATTTCTGTGTTTTGTGTTAAAGATAGTTGTTAGTATGAATGTTGTTAATTTGAGTATGGAGCAAGATGCTCTGTCTATTTACTGAGTTTAGCTGAGCATCAGTCTCTGCCCCATAAACTTGTGGTGTCCCTGTTAATTTTAGCACCTCAAAGAAGTTGGGAAAACAAACAAAACAAGTACTTACACAAACAATAGACTGCATTAATAAAATAGTAGGTTCTTATTATGACATCAACAACATTAGCACAAACCACAGCAATGCTTGGGTCAGCAATTACCAGCAAAATTAGTAAGTAGTAATGAACTAGATCTGGTATTACAATAAACATCAGGTTTCAACTCTCTCACTCACACCAGTAAAAAATGCAGCTATATGAATGATGGGTGCAAGAGTTATATAAATCTATTAGTTCTAAAAGATGGTAAAAATTCAGTTCATGGGCTGATAGTGTAGCTCAGTAGCACAGTACTTGCCTAGCATGTGTGAGAAACTGGATTTGATCCTTAGGACCACATAAAAATAAACAAATAAAAGATATCTGTCATCTACAACTACAAAAGAAATTTTAAGAATTCAGTTCATTAAGAGAAAATAAAATATGATAGTGAGGTAGAATTAAGTTGACAGTATTTAAAAAGTGATGTTAGAGAATGCAGAAGAGATGTAGCAGGTGATGGTTATTAGAAAGGCTGATGCAGAGTTGTTCAAGGGGAGTTTCAGGTGTGGGCTTAGGTGCAATCAGGCTTAAATTGTTTGTTGGTTGGTATCTGCTCTGGAGAGATTAGATCAACACACCCATAGGGCCTCACTGTTGGGGGTCTCTGTCAGGAGTATCTACCTCAGGAACATCCAAAGACTTCTAATCATGGTGCAGGGAAGCTAATCCACTATACCCTCTGCTGCTCATAAACACAGACTTCCAAGGCTTAGTCCTTGAGTGTATTCATATCCACCTGTTGAGATTTCCAACCCTCTTCATCTTTCACATGAAGAACCCAAAGGAAAAGCAAGTTGAGCTCTTTTTTATTTTTCTTACTTGAATCCCCCTGGATACAATCTTCTCTGTGCCTGTTTCAGTCATGCTCTGCTAGGCATACCCTAGGCGAATCAGTAGCCCTCTGTCAAGGCTGGCCATATTTCCTATGATCTCCTGGCTTCCCCTGGTTGAGCTAAAGTGTGGCCTCTACAAAATGGCTTCAGCCTCAACTTGCCAGTTGAAAAATACAGAGCACACCCTTTAAACACCACTTGGATTAGCTTCCAGATCATCTAAGTTAAAATGGGTTTTCTCTTCTACAGGTTTTTCTGTTGCTAATCTACTTATTGTGTTTCTCTGGGTTCTCCCTCCCCTCTTTTGGGGACCAGCACCTCTGTTGCTACTGCAACCAGCTTGGTTCCAATGTATGCTTTCTTCTTAGTTAAGTGCACCCAAGTTCCTGAGTCTGTAAAGTCACTGCTGTCATAGGAGAGCAGAGAGAGAAAACTTCAAACCTCTGTTCTTTTCTTTCAATGAAAGAAACTTTCATATCCGACACAAAAACCATGCAAGAGATCTTTATTATAAGTGACAGAAAAAATGTATGTTGAAGTGAAAATAAAGTAAAAGCAAAGTAAGGCTTCAGAGAGCTCTCACAGGAGTGAGTGTGTCATCTCCAAGTGATGTCTCAAAAATATATTACCATTTGGTGCCTGCCTTCAGCAATGTTTGCCAATAAGGTGTTCAACTCATCCTTCACATCAGGCGGTATAGTTTTTTACTTTAGTTGGTCTTATCTGGAACTGTCATGGTTTGGCCATTCTATTGGGAGGAGTTGACCTACAAGACAATCATGTTAATGTGAGCATGGGGGTCAGTGTCCAGTCAGAAGTTATTTTGGTGTGTCTGAGCAATTAAAGTAATCCTCCTTCCCAAATAGAAGCATCTCTAGCTATAACTCTTAGCTCCACTATCAACCTCAATGGACACGGTCAAGGATTAGTCCCTTTATTTTTCTTTGTTGATGTATTTCCCCAGTTATCCCCTTTGTTTCTGTTTTTTTTTCTACAAATTCACTGTGACCATTTACTTTCTCATTCACTTTGAAAGTAGTTTAAAGAAGATGCTAAAATAATTTAAAGAACACTTGGATTCTTGCTGTGTGTTTTACTGATAATTGCTAGCTACAACCTAATTATAGCACATGTGAAAGATTTCTTGGTGCAGTTTTGTAATCCCTCCCTCTTACCTCCTCCTCTATCCAGAAATGACCACTTACTAGAGATTTATTTTCATAGACTACACTGTAGTATGAACCTCAGACAAATCAGCAATTAGAGTCCAGGTCTACATGGTGGGTGACCCTGGGACAATCCATTCATCAGCTGCTCTTAGTTTATTTATCATAAAATCAGGATTCCACCAACAAAGACACAAGACCACTGGGAATGTTAGGATCAAAGTTTAGAAAAAAACTAGAATCACCTCTGGCACATAGTAGGTTCTCAGTTTTTGGAAGTCAGTATCACAACCAACACTTTGTTTGTCCATAGTACAATTGGGAATGTGTAGCTCCACAGTGCCTTCCTATCTCCTAGAGTTTATATCTCTTATAATTGAAGCCCTGCTGACAGCCTTTCCACCTTCTGCTCCTGTATGTTCATATTCTGGATATTTCATTTTAATGGAGTTATACAATCTGTGATTTAAAAAAAAATTTAGTTGTAGATGAATGCAATACCTTTATTCATTTATTTATTTTATGTGGTGCTGAGGATAAAACTCAGTGCCTCGTGCATGCAAGGAAGTGATCTAACACTGAGCCACAACCCCAGCCCCCAATCTGTGATTTTTTGTGTGTTTGATTTTAATTAGCTTAATAATTTGGAGACCTATCAATGTTGTAGTATATATCAGAATTTTATTCATTTTTATTTCATATTGATATTCTACCATATACATGTATAAATTACAAATATACTTATGCTTTAATATATATACGCACATGGGCCTATTCATATATTTATATATAATTAAATATATATTCATATACACACCACATTTGTTTATACATTCTTTGCTTAATAAGCATTTGAATTTTTACATTTTTGCAAACTTGAAATGTGCTGCCTGGTTGCTAGAATAATTTCAAAAAAGACTACAACACAGCTATAATTATACAGAATGAAGGACAATGTAGAAAAAAGAACAGAAGAAATATCAGTGGAATAGATAAAAATGAAGGGAAGAGAGGAGAGATGGAATAGGGAAAGACCTGGAGTGTATCTGAACTAAATTTCATATTTCACGTATATATATGAATATACCACAGTTAATCTCACTATCATATAAATCCACAAGACATGAATTTGAAAAACTAAGTAAAAGCAGAAAAATCAGTAGAGAAAATGGATGAGGTGATGGGAAGATGGGAGGGAAGGGAAAGTACTTAGGACTGAATTAGAACAAACAATATTCTATGCTTTTATAATAATGTCAAAATAAATTCAATTATCATATACAACTTAAAAGAATAAAATTAAGAGTGGGGATATAGCTCAGTGGGTTGAGTGCTTGCCTTGAAGTCACAAGGCTCTGGGTTCTAATCCCCAGCACCACAAAAAAAGAGAACAAATTAAAAATAGAACTTCATTAAAAAAAACTTAAGAATCACATCGGTTACACATCCACGTTTTTACATAATGCCATACTAGTGACTGTTGTATTCTGCTGCCTTTCCTATCCTCTACTATCCCCCCTCCCCTCCCCTCCCATCTTCTCTCTCTACCCCATCTGCTGTAATTCAGTTCTCTCCCTTGTTTTTCTTCCCTTTCCCCTCACATCCTCTTATATATAATTTCGTATAATAATGAGGGTCTCCTTCCATTTCCATGCAATTTCCCTTCCCTATCTGATGTGATTCTGCAATGTGTATATGGGGTAAAAATGGGAGTTCATAACCCACTTGAATCAAATGTATGAAATATGATATGTCGAGAGCTTTGTAATGTTTTGAACAACCAATAAACAAATATAAAACAAATATAAAAAAAACTTAAGAAATAAAATTCACAAAAATATACATATTATTAATATATGTGACAGAAAGTAACATGAAACTAAAAATCTATAGATGTAAATCTAGAAACTCATGCAAATATAAGGTAAAGTTGTACATAAGATCCTTAATAATGACATAGGTTACATTACCTGACAAAAACTTTGATATATTCATTAATATTTTTTTTTATTCTGAGAGACAATTCTATAAAATAGAGACCATTGTTTTATTGAGCGTGGTAAAGGTGCCTTAGATCAGTTTTGTCAGAAACTGATCTTTGTTCCGGCATTTGGTTTGCATTACTTTTATTATTTGAGTGTCAGCACCGATCAGCACCAAAGGACTGACTGAGCCATAGCCATTGTCCACAAGCATGTGGAGACACACCAGGATGGGGTTATTGGTCCATGTCATGCCTATGAATAATGAAATAAAGAAATCTGCACAGTACAGAATGGAAAAGCAACTGATGAGCTGCAGAATGGTGTGAGTAGCCCTTTGTTGTGGGGAGGTCTTTGGGGAGAACCCAGAACTATGAAGAGTCATGGGCCGCTGTTTATGTGTATACAAAAGAATGATTATGTATCCACTGGAGAGAACCATGAGGCTCACAAAGAAGACATCACTGAGTGCCATCAAGGTGAGAAAGATATCCCTGTAAATTGTTATAAAGGAACAGCAGTCAGTGACAAACAGAAGACCAGTTTTATTGGTTGTGGCCACAGTACACAGAAGCTGGTTGCTAGAAATTGTCGCGACCCCTTGCCCGCAAGGAAGACGCAACTCAGGAATCTTCTTTCAGCAGTTTATTCAGGCCTTTGATATTTCTTCTTCTCTCCCTCGGATGCCCCTCCCAGCCTTAATAAAGCATCTCAAGCCCCAATGCGAAGCTGCTATGTGGAGCTTTCTCATAGGGTGGTGAAAAACCATGCGCCAACTCTCCCAAATAAGGAGTTGTTTGTCACAGACCACAGCGGAGCCAGCGCCATCTTGTAATGGCGACCATAGTCTGCAGAAATGGCAGAAGCGGCTCACCGCAGTTCCCCCTTTCTGTTTTCTTAAAACAATACAGGCGAGAGTAGAGGTCCTATCCCACTGTGCAGAAGTGGCTGCATAGTATGGCTCAGTCCTAAGGAGGGCCCTTCCCCAGATCTGAGGCCATATTAGCCGACGCCTTTTTTCGTGGGGCGGGGCGTGGACGCGTCTAACCCGCATGCAATAGGACATGCTCTCCTTGAGGTCCTCGTCAAGGATCACTCAAGTGCAGTGCCTTGCCTCGCATCCTGTATCGTGACGATGGTGGACAAAGGGAGATAGCTGAGGCTGAACTGTGGCTGTTTATAATGACAAACAAGTTGACAGCACCCTGAAAGAAAGGCACGGACTTTAAGGCGATAGAAAAGTACTAGTGTGGAAACCCATCTGCGTGCAATGGCAGTAAGACCGGCAGAGTGCAAGGGCTTTCCAACACTAAGAAAATACCAAGGAAAGTCATGTCAATCCCAGTGCAATGTTATAATAACTTGGGGTGTAACGACCATGTCAAAGGTTTACTGTTTAAGATGCGCAAGCCAGACTTGAGGTGAGTTGCCATTTTCTAAAGCTGCAAGAGCTTGTATGATCATAGCCTTATCGTGAGCACTGCGGGCCTTAAGGCGACAGAGAAACCACAAACAGAGGAACATACCGAAGCAACACATTGCACCAAAAATGCCTACCCCCACCCACTCTTTGAAGAAGGAAAAAGCAGAATATATCCAATCGGTGAATTGACCCAAAGTCACGGGATCGACACGGGTACTGTTCAAGACAGCTATCTGGGTTAGTTGAGACTGGATCATGTCTTCCGCTGCCATGGACCAATTTCCGGCCAAATATTCGCCAATGATGCAGGAGGCATTCCTGGAATCATTAAATCTGACAGAGGTTATGCATAAATGTGCACGTTGGTCAACACAACCCAAAAGCACCAAGTCAGCCAATTCTTCTACCTGAGCTTGGAGTAAACCTATTCTTTGGTTGGCAGCTAAAATCCCTGACAAAATATGTTGATTAATTGTATTTTGGGATTCAAGTATGGTGGAAGTTTGTTGAACAACTTGATTAATGGTGGCAGCAGTTTGTACTTGACTGGCCATGGCCACTCCGGCCGTAACCGCTGCAGCAGCAGACACTGCCACAGCTGTCACTATAGCTGCTGTAATTCCAAAATCCCTGCAGACTCTAAGTAGCTCAACAATGGGGAATTTATCTGGGTCCGCAATGACTGGGATTGGGACAAAAGTTGGAATCTTCATAACCACTGCTACAGTCCAAGAACCATTCCAACACTCAGATAAGAGACAGGTAACAGTAGAACAATCCAGCATCCCCGACGAGGTGTCATTAGCCAAAAGGAGCAAGAACGGGGATTGGACACAGACCATTGCAGGGGGCAATGTGGCATTATATAGCAGAGAGTTGAACGAAACAGATGTAAGTCTATTTCCTCGTTCACTCTCCCTAACAGTGCCAGAAACATTAGCCAGCCAGCTTTTGGCTCCCAGCAATTGAGCCAATGCAGAAATATCGGCTGAAGCCCCCTTCTCATTGGAAATCAGCCATTGAAACCAGGACCAACCTACTCCTGTAGAGGAGTTGGCACTGTTGTTAAAGTTATAAACATGCCTCTTAAGAGAGGGGGAAAGGGAGAAACCTTTAGCAACTTGATGTTTCTCCCAAGAATGATCCTGACAAGGCGTAAATGTTGGGGGGAAACCAAGATTAGTGGTACAGTAAGGCTGTCCGAAAATGCAAACCACGGTGCAGCGATATCTATCTTCTGTAAAAATCTCTGTAAAGTACTATGTTTCACTTCCAGGCCCTTGGAACGTAACAGGCCATCTAGGGCCAGGAGAAGTGGACTTGAAGATGCGGCACCCATGACACAACAACAAAAGAAGCACAAAAAACAAAAGCGAAATGACACAACAAAAGAAACACAGAAAACAAAAGCGAAAGTAGAAGCGAAAGTACACAGTGCAGCTGCAATAAAATGTAATGCTCTCTCTTTCTTTACAGAGGAGCTGTCCTGCTTTGGTCGCGGATCCCACTTACCTGGGACTAACCCCGCTTTGATCACGGATCCCACTTATTGGGACTAACCCCGCTTTGGTCGCGGATCCCACTTACCTGGGACTAACCGGTGCACCACCCCTGACTGCTGAAAGTTCTGGTTCCCGGGTTTCGGCACCACTTGTCGCGACCCCTTGCCCGCAAGGAAGACGCAACTCAGGAATCTTCTTTCAGCAGTTTATTCAGGCCTCTGATATTTCTTCTTCTCTCCCTCGGATGCCCCTCCCAGCCTTAATAAAGCATCTCAAGCCCCAATGCGAAGCTGCTATGTGGAGCTTTCTCATAGGGTGGTGAAAAACCATGCGCCAACTCTCCCAAATAAGGAGTTGTTTGTCACAGACCACAGCGGAGCCAGCGCCATCTTGTAATGGCGACCATAGTCTGCAGAAATGGCAGAAGCGGCTCACCACAAGAAATTAGCATGGAAAAGACTGACAAGAACAAAAAGAGCCACCATATGTGATTTTGGGGTTTAAATTTGAAGGGGCCAACCAGGAGTCATGGAGGCTGATGGTGATGGCCTGAAGCACACTTAGGACACAGGTGGTGCAGATGGAGAGTCCCCTCATGACTTTGTGCAGGAAGACAAGCACTTTGCATTTGAGGGCAACTGGAATGTCTTGTGTTTCCCAAATGTCTCTAGATATCAGAAGGTCCATGGTGAGGAGCATGAAGATGTGTGTCAGAGCCAAGTGGGTGATGGGGAGGTCTGTGAGCCTGGGCTTGTTGCCCACGAGGACAGCAGCAATGTTCAGACATAGCAGAAAGGTGTTTGCTGAGATTCCAATGCCAGGTTGGGGATAAAAGGCATTTCTTATGGCACTGAATGTGGAATGTTGTTTCATCTTCATGAGGATGTTGAAGGTTGAAACAAACGTGTTTCTGGAAAGAAAACCAGATGTGATTGACAGAAATAGTATTTTCATTGCCATATTTCTGTCATTTTATCACCTTTTACTGTATCTAGAAGCATTAGTTACTACAATAGTTTCTAGTAAATAGGATAGAGTATTTTTTCCATTGTCAATTTAAGTTGAATGGAGGGTGTGTGGCTCAGTGGTAGAGTGCTGGCTTGGCCCACAGGAAAGTTTTGTTGCACCCCAGGCATTGAAAAGGAAAATAATAAATAAAAATTCATTAGTTAATTTTACCTTATGCACCACTTTCAGATCAGTGATTTTGTATATTTTCCACTCACCTCATGGATTTGCTAATATCTTACTCTGGAAAACATACTATGCTTTCCTTTAGGTTATAAATTCCATCATATTATAATCACTTACTTTTAATTTCTTCCTGAAGTGTTCTTAAAAGTAGAGTTGTTGTCTTATTTATCTTTGGAATAAAGTATCTGAAATACTGCTGCTACATAGAAATTTCCCATGAATGATTGTTGGTGTGAAGGATGGACTAGCGGAAATTGGAATCTGCCAGGGAAAGAAATACTCTCACGATGCTCAATATCATGCTTTCTTTATAGAAGTACAGAAAATGTGGAAAAATTTGTAGTTGTGTTCCTCACCCAGATGACTTTATTTAACTCATGCCACACCACTTACTATAATGGTGAGCCCTGTCCCCTTACATAATTAATTTCATCTCAGGTTATATCCTGAGTAAAAGCAGTACCAAGATAGAACATTTCTACTAGCATTGTTGGTGTGAACAATTAAATAATGGTTAATATATTTGAAGCACTATATAAATTTTAATTATTGTTGTATTTTTATCACTATCTCAACTTGGTTTGGGAGATTTAATTTAGTATATGAAAAGTTTCATAACTTAAAATACAAAAGTCTACCAAACATTAATGCTTGCATATTGATAGTATTCTAACTTTTCTCCCCTCATTTTAAAATTACTCCTAGCAATATATTTAAATGTTTTCATATTGATACACACTCCAGAGAAACAGGCAGACAGCTGGTATGACCTCCTTCTCATGGATGAGCACTAAGAAATGCCAGTTTCTAGGGTTGGGGATGTGGCTCAAGTGGTAGCGCGCTCGCCTGGGATGCGTGTGGCCCAGGTTCGATCCTCAGCACCACATACAAACAAAGATGCTGTGTCCACCGAAAACATAAAAATAAATATTACAAAAATCTCTCTCTCTCTCTTTAAAAAAAAGAAATTCCAGTTTCTATTTTAATTTTCTCAGACCTGTGTATAAGAGAAAATAGTCTAACCAGATCAATGATGGTGGGGCATCTTTTACACAAAATGTCCCATGCAACTTGTTCAGTTAAATTCTGACAGATGTTTAGATGCTCAGCAGTAGGAACTGATGTCAAGTGCCCTTCAGTTAGTCTCTCATATGATCCACAGTTCTGTGGGTGCATGGTCAATGTCCCACTGAATAGCAGGGCCCTGGATCCTATGCAGGCATTTTCTTCAATCTTTTTAACTTGTGTCTTAAAGTTTTTGATCTATTAAACACTGAGAAAATGGTAGTAACTTAATTCTGGGCACTCATATGAATAGTAAGAATTATGTAATAAATGAATTTATATGCTCCAATTTATGAAAATAACTATCTAATGAAAGGCAGAGTTACTGAGATTCAATAACCCCAACATAATGCCTATGAAATGAAGAAAGTGGGCATAGAAATAAATACAGAGAAACACAAGAGACTCAGCCCAGGGAAGCCACAGAGCCCATGTACAGAATACACAGATACCATGTGAATAGGGTGGAATGCAAGAGATATATTTGGAGTAAAAAGCTGAATCCCATGAAATTTGTAGCTAGCATTTTTATCATGACATTGGGATAATTCTTATCCCAACATATGTATGTGTTTTTGAAGAAGAAAATAAAAAACAACATTAGATTTTTAGGTGATTAACAAACAGGAAAATTATTCTCATAAAATACTTGCTGAAATTAGCTGAAAATCCAGCCTAAGAAGGTTTGTAGAAAGCAAAAAAGTGAACATTTTTTTTTTTTTTTTGCAGGAGGGACAGGTGATTGGACCAAGGAGTGTTTTATTATATCCCCAACCCCCAGTCTTTGCTATCTTAAATTTTGGACAGTTTCTCACTATTGTGACTTAGGACATAACTAATTTTCTGAGACTGGTCCTGATCTTGGCATTCTCCTGCCTTTGACTCCCAAGTTCCTGAAACAATTGTCACAGTCATGCCCAACTAAGGTGGAACTTTACTCATCTAGTCTATCTCTTTGCTTGTTTTTCAGCAGATAAAAGAAAGAAAAATGTCACACACACACACACACACACACACACTTTGTAAATGCAACAAAACTTGCAATTTCAAGGTACATCAAGTATTTCAAACCTAAAATTCAGGCATTGATAATAGGACCCATCAACTTCAATCTGTCATATTCTAGTTGGTACATTTGTCACCAGAGAAGAGAAAGAAATGTCTGCTATGAGCAAGTTTACATAAAACTGCAAGTCTGCATTTGGATTGATACTTTTTGGAAGATCCTGGAATATTCCTTAGCTCAGAAACATTTACCAGCACATTCATTCAGACCCTGAAATAAACCCAAGTGATCAGTAGTAGATGTCTAAGACTTTGAGTCTCCTTCAGGAAATCGGGCCATATTTCACAAGCGTCTGTCATCCTGCTTCAGACATTTGCCTGGCTTCAGACATTTGGGAATCAGGATGGAAAACATCTCCACTACTGTAGTCTAATTACCATTTCCTTTTCTTCAAAATCATACAAATTCCTAAAGTTTACAGTAATATACCTTAATGAATGTGCAAATGTGAATTCTGTGATTATTCAGTGACTGCATAAAAACTGTCATTGGAAAATAATTTTATGAAGATTATTTTCAACTCTGAACATCATTAATAAAGATTTGGGTGACTGGAGCAGCAAAAAATGCTTTATAATATTGTATATTTTTCATTAAAGATGAAATATTTTTCCTCTAGGTTATTTTAAATTGCTGTTATTTTCTACAGAAATTTCAGTGAGAATACAAAAAAAAAAAAAAACAGGACTTTGTTTTATTTCTAGGGGATTCAGTAAATTTAATATAAGCAAAATATATCTTGCTTTTTAATAAATTGCTACTTATGCAAAAATTATTGTTTTAAATTTTGTGTATTTTCCTAATGATTGTGCATTAGTAAAGAATAAAGCTAGTAGATCAGCTGGGAGAAGGTGACAATTCTAGACATTTTCTGGATCAAGGAACAATGATTTTTAACATAGGGGATATAACCTGTAGCCAGATCAGTTAACCTGTAGCCAGATCAGTGGGCCTATATTTATGTATAATAGCATTACTCTGCCAAGCCATGAATAAAATATTGTTTATTTCATCAAAAGTTTAAAATTTTTCAATTTTCTCTCTTTGCATCTCTGGGAATTTTTTTTTTTTTTTTTTTAGAATAGAAAATTCAGTGAAGCTACATCAAACAATGACTAACTCTGGAACATTTTGGTGTTAAATTCTATGTCCTTTCTCAATGATTTGCATTAATAGAGAAGAACTCATCTTACAGGTGAAGCAGACACTTACAGAAATATGACAGGTATTAAGGAACAGTGTTTTCCAACATGAAGAGATGTTAACTTTCACTAGATAAATGTCCCTGGGCTGTGTATACTAATATCACTATAGTAATGACAATTATAAAAACATTTTAGGAGCTGGGAATGTGGCTCAAGCAGGAGCGTCCTCGCCCGGCATGCATGCGGCTTGGGTTCGATCCTCAGCACCACATACAAATAAAGATGTTGTGTCCGCCAAAAACTAAAATAATAATAATAATAATAATAATAATAATAATAATAAAAATTCTCTCTCTCTTTAAAAAAATAAAAACATTTTATATTTTACTTCATACAAAACTCAAATTTATTCTACTATTTTCTTATTTCCATGCATCCCCAGGACAGTTTTTAAAATTGTGAAATATTTTAATTGATAACGCAGAATGCTAAATCATACCCGTCTTTACATTTTTGTGCTTGCTAACTATTTTTAATTCTTTGTAGTTATGTCCATCATTAGGATACACTTTGACCTTATCACAATAGCATGGAATACAATTTGTTCTAATTCTGTCCCCAGCACTTCACCCTCTCACATTCTTTCCTCTACTCCTTCTACTCTATTGATCCCTGTGCAACTTTTTATTTTTTAACTGGGGATTGAACTCAGGGTCACTCAACCTCTGAGCCACATCCCCAGCCCTATGATGTATTTTATTTAGAGACAGGGTCTCACTGAGTAGCTTAGTGCCTTGCACTTGTTGAGGCTTTGAAATCATGATCCTCCTGTCTCAGCCTACCAAGCTTCTGGGCTTACAAGCATGTGCCGCCATGCCTGGTAATCCCTTTGCAATTTATATGTAGTATTATTTTTACTTATTTGAAAATTAGTGCCTGGTGAATGTGTTTGATGTTGTGATTCATTGTGGTATATTCACGGGTGAAATTTGGTCAGATTAATTCAACTGTTCTTTCCTTTTTCTGTCTCTCCTTCCTTCCCCTCAACACACTTCATCTACTATTCTGATCTTTTTATCAATTTTGATTAAATCTTCTCTCCTTTTTTTTTTCCTACAATATTTTCAAAGGACACTAAATTTTTCAAATTTAGAATAATATCTATGTGATACTGAAGAAAATAATTAGTCATTATATGTAATGAAACTGTAAATGTTTTAATAAACGAAATGTTATTAATTTTGGTAAACACACACTACACATTTTATTTGAAGTTACTACTATTGCTAATATTATATTAGCTAGGATTTTTAGTATAGGTGTCCCTGAGTTTATGAATTGTTGTAAGATGAGTTGAAACATGTTAAGTACTAGAAAGTAGTATAAAGCTAGAACTGCTAGAC